GACCTAGAAGTGGTTTCCAACTTATTGTCCATTCTGAAGATTGGTCGTACTGCAATCTCATAAAGTCCAGTCTAATTTACTTATTGTACGGGTGAGATTTGGCTACCTCAGTAGGTCTGCTCATCTGAAACCTTGGTGATGTTCGAGGGTTCAGATGAGAGACTGGGGTAGGGTAGGCCAGTGCCGTGACAAACAGTGGAATGGGGAAAGCTATAGAAAAAAGGCCTTCTAATTGAAGAGTGACAAGGAGAAGAAGTGAACCTTTGTTAAGGATTTATGTAATAACCTCTATGTTGTATGAAGTTTTCAATACAGTTTAACTTTATTCCAATCATGTTGAACCACACCTGTACCAGTGTCTCCCCATTCTGGACTGCTACTAAGTTGCACTGAATGTTTGTCATTACCAACATTATTTCATAATATTTGCAAATTCATGTTGTGCTTCTCTTTCCTGTAATGAATGTATAAGTGTAGGCTGTGTGGGAACTGATGGTTTGATCCAAATGTCCTCATAAAAACATGGTTTGATCCAAATATCGTCATAAAAACAACATACATATGTGAGCAGAAATCCTGATATCCTCAGTGATATGACAGTAGCTCTTTGTGTAGCCCTGAAACACTGGTGTATTTAATCTACTGGTCATCAGTGTCAGTGGTGTTTAAATCACCGGGGTGTCTTCACACATAAGAGCCGATAAGGATCGACGATCACTGATGCAGAGATGAGTTCACACGCAGGTGACGAGACGATCCATTCATCCATCTGCGTTTGAGGAGACAGGGAACGCTCGGTTTTACTTTAGCCTCCTTCTGCAGACTAGAAATGAAATATGGGACATTATTTTAAGCAGTGCTGGTGGAAAACTGAGGAAAATGTTAATTAAGTTACATTTTACATATTACAGGTACATATACCGTATTACAAGTACAGGTAAAGTAAAACATATGAAGAACACTTAGGTTTATGTTTGTCCAGGATCTGCATGTGTGCAAACGTTTTTATAACCCCTTAACATTGCAGCCATTAATTATGTTGATGTCCGACAGAACTAAATTAGAAAAATTGTTGAACGTGAACACCGTATGGACAACGGTGCTGTATCTGGTTGTGGCTCTGTCTTTGTTGATCATTTAACTGAATTTAACCCTTTAGGCGACATATATTTAATTTTGCACAGGGTTAGGGTTGAGCCCCTAAACGGCATGTACCACCGGAGCATAGCAGAAGTGGCTGATCCAACCAATCGATCCAACACATAACTTCAGGGTGCAAGATGCTGGCAGGGAAGGCCTTCATGTAACACCATAACCAAGTGGCTGGCATAGTGTACACTAGGGGTGTCCAAAGTTTTTAGTAAGAGGGCCACTTTAGTTCATCAGACTTGACATGGGGCTGACAACCAGGACTTTAAAAATTAGATTCAAGCTGGATTGACTGCATCTTATTTGGACTGTGGGGACACAATCATAAAACAAATGTCAGTAAATAACAATAGAGAAAATGAGTGGATTCTAGAGGGTGTGAGATTCACAACAAGGTATAGCATGACTGTATTAGTGGAGCTGAATTTGGGTGGATGACACTGAGGCACGTCGGTGGACTCATCCAATTGGAATAGTTCCCTCCCTTCACTGCGTCAATGAGTTGACGCTTGATGTCCAGTGCCATGTCACTGATGCGGCGGCCAACAGTCCCGTCTGAGAGCGGCACCTGTTCGAGCTCCACGGCTTGTTTATCACCATGCATAATGCGTCTCATGGCTATTGCCGCTGGCTTGATTAAAGTTTCACCTATCGTGTGAGGCTTTTTAGTCCGTGCAATTAAATATGTCACTTCAAAGCGCTCTGAGCTTTAGCTGGGATTGTTGTTTGTGTAGTTAGGAGTCTCTTCCCTCGTAACTCTCCCTCTTTTCGGTGGAAATACTCAATAGGTTTAGCAGTGAGATTGGGATGCATAGTGTTCAGATGTCTTTGCATTTTGACAGGCTTAAGACCTTTGTGAGCGAGGACTTCGGAGCACACTACGCACTGGGGATGTTGTACTCCGTTTATAACCTGACACACAATTTCATAGTTAATAAATTATTTTCGGTACTTCCTTGTTTTGGAGTAAACTGGGTACAAGTGATGGGCTTGGCGGGCTCCCTCCTTAGCAGAGGTGGAAGGCATTTCTTGCGGCTCGCCTGCACTGTTCTCCGCTGCCCTCTTGTGCCGCTTTTCCATAGACATGGTACGGGACGGTACGGCACGGCCGAGTGTGGGTGCTTTTCCATAAAAATGGTACCTCCAAGTATCTCCTCAGCGTGGGAGGGGTTGTCAGACCACGTAATTTACGCGCAACGTGTAACTAGCATGGATCTAGGATAGGGTATTGCTAGTTTATAGCTGAAGAACCATGTGCTTGGGGGATTCTCGCGGTACTGCAGCCTAAACAAGACTAAATTTACGTGGGCTACCCAGGAATTTTCCCCATAGAACTCAATGTAAACTAAAACAGCTCGACCTCAGCTGAGAGAGAACTTACTGCTTTCATAAAGGTCGGATTTTGTGGGGATTTTAGTGTTCCTTGTCATCCTGAACTTTTTTTCTTCTTAAATCCTTTGGTTTTCTTTAAATCCACACTTTACTGCCACAAACTCTGCTCGTCTGGCTCCAGCTCTAACTCCCGCTCTGATGAACTGCTCTGATTGGTCAGAGCGCAGCCGAGCCTCTCTGTGCACGTGCGTGAGACCCGGTGTGAGACCCACACACGCGTGTATTTGGCGCAACGCATTATGGGAGATCATCCACTGCACAGAACCGGGAGGACCAGACGATGCCCAACTACAGGCGATTTTCCCATAGATCTTTGCGAGTTCCAGGCGACTTCCGCTAATCTTTCAGCCCCCATGCCGTCACAAAGCGCAACTGAGCACAACCATTCATTTGAATAGGGCGCCATCTTGGATCGCCGGGGCTTGGTCACAAATCAAGAGCTGGGTGATCTCCTTGAAAACCTTGTTCCGTGTTGATAGTTAAGCTGCTTTTGAATTCTTTCTTCGGCCTAAAGAGAGTAACGCGTAGACCTCGTCCACCAACCAGGACGCTGACTTTTGGGGCTTTCTGTTTGATTCCATTTATCTCGCCAGTTTTAAAGATGGCGGGGTTGAGTTGTTTTTAGCATAGGGTCGGACGTCACTTCCAGTGACGACGCTCGTTGACAGTGTGAGGCAGTCGGCTTACGTCACGTTATGGTTTGGCTTCAGCACGCTTGGAACCACAGTCGAGGTTGTGCGAAAAAAGTACCCTGATCCCAAGCCCAACCTTAGTGGAAATGCAAAATAACAGCGCCTTGCCGTGCCGTACAGTTACTGTGGAAAAGCGGCATTGGATGCCTCCTCCTCCGCAGTCTTCGCACCATCGGCTTCTGGAAGATGAGACTTGAATTTGATTGATGCTGTCAATCTCCTAATGTCTGGGAATTACAGATTAATTTAAAATATTATATATTTGTATCAGTCTTCTCCAAACACAATTTAACAAGTAGTCATATTGAATCAAATCAGTTGCCACAATTCACATTATTTTTTTCTTTTATGGAAATCATCTTCACGATGGGGTTGCGGGACCCCCACTTTGAGAACCACTGGGTTAGACTACTGTAATGGCCTACTCACATGTCTGTCCAAACAGGCTGTAAAACAGCTGCAGTACATTCAAAATGCAGCAGCTCGAGTCCTGACTAGAACCAGGAAGTATGATCACATTAGTCCAGTCCTCAGGTCTCTGCACTGGCTTCCTGTGGCTCAGAGAATAGATTTTGAAGCAGCTCTATACCTCTGTGATATGTTAGTGCCATATATTTACGCAGCTAAAATTTGGAACAGTCTTAATGAAAATGTGAGACAGGCTTCTACTCTGACAATGTTCAAATCCAGTTTAAAAAGAGTTCTGTTTAGCTGTGCATACAATTGAATGATTTAATAAACACTATGATTTAATGTACTGTAATAATATTTTAAGAGGGCGACAGTAGCTCAGTTGGTAGAGCATTGGCCTTTGGGCCTGAAGGTCGTGGGTTCAAGCCCACCATAAGACCTACTTCACGACTCCCGCTGATGACTGCTGTCGTTGTGTCCTTGGGCAAGACACTTAATCCCACTTTGCCTGAAGCCCCCGCTGAAAGATCTCAGCTCCTGTGGATTCACCACCTGCAGGAGGATCAGTGAGGGGCTGGTGCTCTGTGTCCTGGGTGCAGCTCTGACTGCCACCCCCCCGACCCAGAAATGGATTAAGGGGAAGAAAATGGGTGGATGGATTTTGTATTGTGTTGTATCTCAAGTATATTGAGTTGCCTTGTGTATTAACAAATCATTTATTGCGCTGTACAAATAAACTTGCTTTGCTCATTGCCACCAGCTTTAGTCTATATGCCACCAATGAGCCGTTTTCTACTTGGTCTATGTTTTCCATGACAATTTTTCAACATTGATTTAATTAATTGTTCAAAAGTTACAAATGTGAGAAGTAATCACAAACATCGCACACGCTTTTTGGAACATATTTTTACCAACTCCTATTTTTTTCTTCGTGTGAAATCGATGTCCACGCAGTCAGGACATCGGACGTTGTGCTGAGATGATCGCGGCTGTTATTGTTGTGGGTACCTGGGGAGACAAGGCTTTGTGTTAGCTGTGCTCTTTGTGAGTCTTTTGTCGCGTCGGTTCGATGTGTGTGTGTGTGTGTGTGGGTGAGAGAGAGGCGATGAGGGGAGATGAAGAGAAAGAGCAAGTTGATCCTGTGGTTATAGACTGTTGGACTTGGTTGTACACTAAATCCCTGTCTTTGTAAACAGATCAATAAAGTGTGTGTGCGCAGCTAAGTGTGTGCGCGTGTAGGAGAAACGGCCAGAGATGCACACGGATTGATCTTGGCTGTAAGGAACAACTGTATATTCATTTAACACAATGTTTTACTTGTCATTGCTGTGGTTGCAGACATCCGAATACTCAGCGATGGCCTCACTTGCTGGTGGACTGGATGAAATGAAGAGCAGTTTGGCCAATCCGGGCACGGGAGCGGACTTAGGCGGAGGCGTTGCTGGTCCTCAGTCCTACTCACTAGTGCCAGGTAAGGAATCCCATTAGCAGGATTTAATTTTTTTTAATCTATTGATTTATTTGTACTGGCACATTGCACGTTAATGAACATTTCTGTTAAAGTGCCTGTTTCTGTTATTGTATTGACAGGTACTAAAATGGGGTTTGAATGCATTTGCTTTGTGTTGCCAGATTCAGATTCAGACTGCTTTTTACTATTCAATTCAATTCAATTTCAACTTTATTTATATAGCACTTTAAAAACAACACAGTTGACCAAAGTGCTGAACACAAGTCTAAAAACACAATATAATATCAAAACATATACAAGAATACAAATTGCACAGAAAGTCAAACCACTGAGTTAAAAGCCAAAGTAAAAGGATGAGTCTTGAGAAGCTCCTACTACTACTACTACTACTTCTATTTATCCCACCTGGGGCAATTCGTTTTAGCAGCACAGGCCATGGTTATAACATTAAAACTCTGATGAATACACAAATAAAAGTAGGATGCTTAAAGATGGGGTACTTAATTTTCAAACCACAATATTTTATTATTTAAGGAACTCCATCCAATGAGTCCTTATTTTTCAAAACACAGATCAACTTTTCCAGACAGAAAAGTGAAAATGACAGGACCACCCTCACTCAAATAGTGACTCACGGGGCTTTTTCTGACACATAAGCAAAAGATAAAAAGGCTTTCTAATAAGTAATATAGCAAGTTGAGGTCTGATTATTTTAGATTTATTTCTTCTTTTACAAGATTTGATCTGTTGGGACATAAACCATGTGTGTTAAGTACCTCAGCGTTAACCAGGTTGTGAATATAATTGTCCGAGCTGTTTCTGTTGGAGCTCACACACCTTTATTCAAATTCGAACCACTTAATGTCAAAGAAAAAAAGGGAACACTCTCATTTCTGTCCGTTTTGACTGCAAATGAGCATAACTATTCCAAGTACTCAACCTGTTTAAAGAGCTCAGTGTCTCTCTGGAGAGATAGAAAGCCCAAAGCAAAGACGGAGCAGTGCGGTGGAGGGATGGAGCAGAAGTCAGGCTCTATTCAGGGGCACTGGGAGAGGCACTGCTTAATTAAGAGTAGACCGGGGAGCACTTGGACAAGCCTTTAACGTTCCCATCTGTAATGAGGGGAATCATAGAGCTGGGATTTTGGGATATCAGGAATGGGGGCTCTGCTTCCTGGCCTTCCAAACCACTGAGGAATATTACCTGCTTCAGACGAGTGCAGAAAGGGAGAGAGGGAGAATGGGAGACTTGAGGAATAGAGGAGAGAGAGGGAGATAGCATTTCCATTTCAGCTTATGAATGCAAACACATATGCACACACCTTTGGAATATTATGCATGCATTTTGTTTCCTGTCTTTGCCCTCAGAAAGAGCTCCCTCTAGGCCGGGGATCAGACGTCTGCATGTTTCATTATTACTGAAGCTATGAGGTCATAGCATTTAACAATGATTTCAAATGTAATGAAACCATTTGTTACGTCCGCTTGTCAGTGCGCTTCAGTGCGACACAACCACACACGAATAATAAGATAGATGACCTCATTTTGATGATTAGTATTGATGAAAGTAAAATGATCTTGAATTTAAACAAGCGACTGGTCATTGACGGGCATTTTCCATCATCTTATGTCAGCTGATGTCCTGATCAAGTGACCTTTGCAATTAAGCCCTATTTTTGTTTGTTATTTGTTCTACCGTTAAGCGTCTTTAAGTGCGATGGAGTATTATTATCATTATTATTATTATTATTATTAGTATCATTTGTGTTCATTTGTAATTGGTTGATTTTTATATCATGTCACTTTGCATTTTAAATACATACAGTACATACAGTGGCTCAGTTGGTAGAGCATTGGCCTTAGAGGGTCGTGGGTTCGAGCCCACCACAAGACCTACTTCACGACTCCCACTGATGTCTGTTGTCGTTGTGTCCTTGGGCAAGAAACTTAACGCCACTTTGCCTGTAGCCCGGCTGAATAATCAAGTGGACTCACCACCTGCAGGAGGATCAGTGAGGGGCTGGTGCTATGTGTTCTGGGTGCAGCTCTGACTGCCACCCCCCCGACCCAGAAATGGATTAAGGGGAAGAAGATGGATGGATGGACAGTACATAGTCATATTTTTAATTTAGTAGCGCAATGCAAGTCATGATCTTGACATTTGTCCTACTGGAAGTCATAAGGATGGTGGTGTTCAAGCTTCACAGCAAGTAGGTCCCTCCCATACCTTGCTCCCCGCGTCTGTGTAGGTTTCCTCCGGGTGCACCGGTTTCTCCAACCACTAAAAACATGTACAATAGGTCTGGCCTGAGCTTCCATCACTGTGTGGAATAAGCAGAAAAATGTAAAGCGCTTTGTGACTCAAGATTACGTACTTATTTACCATACACAAAGTAACCAAATGCAGCATGTAAATAACACAGTCCCATACGAGTGGCGCTTTTGACAATCCCCTTATGTCAGATTTGTGTTGGATTCAGTAGATATAGATTGACAGTATGTGGGAGACTCAAAAGATGTTCATCGAGTTGTGTTCAGAGGAGACTTGTACAGGCTGGTTGACCTCTACGGCAAAGCAGTACAAAACAGACACATCAACACCACTGCCGTCCATTTTCACACGCGCACACGCACCGCGGAGGATGTGGCCCTGTCTGCCCCCTCTAAGTTGGGCTGTGGAGAGTCCATTTGAGCTGCGGTCCACCCTCCCCCTCCCCTCTCCCCCCTCTCCTCTTGCCCTGTGCACTGACCCTGAGCGCATGAGTAGACCGTCTGCACTAATGCCTGGCTGTCGCGTCAAACACTGAGAAAAACTTTACTACGCCGAGACAGCAGCGAGGACAGCAGTGTGGGGAGGGTTCAAACAAATGCAGTGCGAGAGCCACAGCATGGGAATATATGAGGTAAATATGCAACTGAATTATGCTGAAATAATAGCGCGAAGACTTAATTACAATCAAATCAAAACAGCAATTTTAGAGACCACAATTAGCTAATCAAACGGGTTTATAAATACAAGGATCACTGCAAATGTCAAAAATAGGCTTATAATAACTGAAATAAGGTAGTATTTCTCATCATTTCAGTGTGTTTTGACTGTTTTATCTGCAAATTGGAAAAGTCTTATCTAGCTTAAAGCAGAGTGGGACTTTAAGAGAGAATTTGTCTTTTAATTTCAACAGTGAAAATATTGTAACATTAGCTAATACAACTTTAAACATTTTTCAGTTTTTCTATCAATTGTTTATGTGCACTTTGAACATTATATTAGCTTCATAGCAGTAATAGCAATTGCGAGTTGTAATCGCAACGGTTATCTGAAAAGTCCCCAATTATATATGTATTCAATATCGTGCATCTCTAATTAGCACACATTACATCACACATGATTTATTTAACAATTAGCCATTTCACTTCCACTTTACTTAATAGGCCATATCTACAGCAACATGGTATCAATTTTTTTTATTATAATTGTCCCAAGCCCAGATGAATGGAAAACACATTTATATAATTTCCAAAACATAATACATAGGATTCCTGATTTTCAATTGCGCTGTCTGGAATCACAAAAAAGAAAATGTCACTTTTATAGTATCAATTTGACCCAAAACAAATTATGTTGAGGCATATATACAGTGAAGGGTTTTGCAAGCGTACCAACTGCTACCTGGTTCAACTCTAGCAATCCTTTGTTATAAAATTCTATGATTTAATCAAAATTTAACCCAAATTAAAGCTACGCCAGTGATCTTGCTAAGTGAATATCGAGCACCAGTTGACATGCACCAATGATTTAATTTCCCCAATGCAAATTAATGAACACAGCCTGCATTAATTTGCAAATTCTGGTATTAAGCAGACTACATTTCCTCTACAGTATAGTTTTCTTGCTGTTGTTTGCGTCCTGGCCCACTTCCTTTGCCTTACAGTTAGTTAGCAATGGTTAAGTGGAGTGGAAGTGAATGGGATTGATGGTGTTAGCATGTGAGGTGTTTATGATGATGATAAATGTTGGGCGCGCAGGACGGGTGGAGGAAGAGGAGGGGCAGTGATGATGATGAATGGTGGTCTTGCTCACTGCGCACTCCCACTGTCGACTACGTACAAACACAGAGAAATGATTTGGGCCGACATACTGTCATGTAGTCTAATGCAGTTATAGATCCAATCCTGTCAGTGACAGGCCCGGGGAGGGGGCTGGACAACACGCACAGTAAAAGAGAACAAAGAGGAAATAAACAGTGTGCTGAGGCATTATTTGATATGAATAGCTATTCTGCTCAGTGCCAAATCTTTGAACACTTGCCATCTACCCCTTTCTTTGTCACAACTAAGAAATGCTGTGATATTATTTACATGTGCTCAAGAGGACACTGTGCATCAATCTGGAGATGGGTCCTCACTTACAGGATTTCATTTAAATCATAGATTAAAATCCTACTGGATGTAGACCATTTTTATGCTGTACTCCACAATTGTACAGCCAGTGGAACACTGAAAAAAAAACAACAAGGCTTTTTATTGGCTGTAAAACACTATAACATAAGAACGATCAATAGCATATTTGGCCAATTTTACATAACAACAACAACTTGTTAAAGATTGGGCAAGTTTATTACAGTACTTCATTATTCGTTCCTACAAGGTCAATTACAAGTTTGTAGAGATATCTGTTTTTTGGTCAATGGACAATCCCCGTGAAAGTGAAAGAATTGTTAGAGGGATATCACATATAACTGACACCAACAGTAAACAGTTGTGCTTTGAGACTTTTCTCACGTAACAAACAAAACATATATTTTACTGTATAGGAAACAACATTGAAGACGGTCAAAGAAAGCAGTCACCAGATTGAGTCCAAATATTAATGCAGCATGTACCGTTATGGTTTCAGGTCGGGATTTAGCCAGCACCACTCTCCCAGGCTACCCTCCCCATGTCCCTCCCACTGGACAGGGCAGCTACTCCACCCCTTCGCTCACAGGCATGGTAACTGGTAAGTGCATCCTTGTTCTTAAATCCTCTATTGTTTGTGTACAGTGCAGCCACATGGCATTTTAACTATATAAGCTGCATGAAAACGTTAGTATGGTAAGTACAAAACACATTGAAATGGGTGTGCCTCGACTGCTTGTCCCAGAAATGTTTTAATTGCATGATATATTATAATTGGATTTGTTAATTTTTGAGTGTATTTTAGCTCATACAATATAGTCCCTGTAGTTCTTAATGACCACATACTTAATTAGCCTAGAAGAAAGCATTGGTCACTTGAGCTTCTTGATGCTTACTCGGAGCTTGGTATGATTTCATTTCTCACGTTAAAATGGCTGTAGAGAATGTCTTTTTAATGATAGTTCAAATTTTCATATCACACTGATCAAAAACGCAATAGTCCTTGAAGAAATCATTTTAGCTTTATTATGATGATGGCCATATCTGAAGTTATATAGGAGCCCAAAGACATTTCTTCAGCCTTACTTCTGTCACTTTTACAGACCGTCTTACACAGAGCTGACCTGTAACTGTACGCACTCGCCTCAATTCCCCTTGGAGTTTTTATGTGTATATCTTCAGGGGATGTATTTAGCTTTGCCACTTCCTTCTCCTTGTCTCCCTCCACTCCGCCTGACAGAGCTCCCAGGGGGCCCTGTGTGTTTGCATGCATCTGTATAGGTGTGTGTTGAGGTTTGTGTGCGCGTGTGTATCATTAGAAAACAGCCACAGTAGCACAGCTGTCCCTCCTCAACATTAGTAATTTGTTTTTAATGAGAATCACCAGTGACCCACGACTAATTCATTCATTCCCTTCCACTCCGCCTTCCACGCAGCTTTTGTGTTTCAATCTTGGACCGTTTTCTCTTGGCTTTCCCTCTGCTTTCTAATATTGGTCAGTGCAAAGTATACCTCAGAGGATAAGATGAAAAAAACAGATCCAAACAAGCTCAAAACAGTGTTTACAAGTTCTGGCCTCTTTGTATTCCCACTCATTCACTCGCACACATTCTCAGCGGACATGTCGGAGCAGCACATCTAAAGATGGCTAACCCTGTCACCCTGTCCCCCCGCACTGGCCCGTCCCACGCTCAGGTTTGACAGCATATTTGTGTGTGTGTCGGCATGCGATGGTTTGGAAGTGGAGGCGACCTTGACACTGAGCTACACCAGGGAGAGCCCCCTTAGCCTCCCGCAGCTCCCCCCTTCTCTCTCACGTCCGCATCTCCCACACAACCTGACACGTCGCCGTCACTGCGGTGATGACAAGGGGAGGGATGCTCGAACTTGGGGATGCCATGGAGACCGCATCACGACCCCACCTGACAGACGCAGATAAACACAAACACGGAGGCTTCAGCAAAACAAAGAAAAGTCCACCGCTGGATGTAGACCTCAACTACAGTATGGATTGGGGCACTGGTTATAGACGCAAAATCCAAACAGCAGAAACAAAACGCCACCACAATATTAATAGAATACATCAAAGAAAAACGGAATCCATTAATTTCCCTAGATATCATTGTGTACATTAAAAGTAGGGATTAAATTAAATCTGACTATGTCTCATGAGACATCAGTCATCAGGCCGTATTTTTCATTTTTCAATCATTTGATGTTATATCCTCAACTCATTCCCCAAATCATTCACCGTGTTATACCTCAATAACCTGCAGAAGTCACCAGCTGTATTACAATCCACCAGGCCAATAAGAGCCAACAATGTTATCCATTTACTGCAGTAGAGTCCCATATGAATTGTTTATTTCAGCTACTTCTGAATTAGAAATTATTTACTTGCAATACGTTTGCTTTGTCCAAGTATTTGTGGCTGATGTCACAAATAATCAAGTATAAGTTTTTTCCTTTATATTAAGCATACAATAATACATATATACATTCATACTTAATCATTTATGAAACAATTTAAGACACATAGATCAAAATAAATGTACAAATACATTAGTAATTGATTGACCAAAAACATTGACATTAGTTCTAAAAAAAAAATTCAAACAGATCCTTCCCTAAATAAAGATTTATTTATTGTTTTTTATATTCTTTATTATATGTTCTCACTTGTTCATTGGTGCAGCTGTCTCACAGTAGAGAGTTCTTCTAATTATGATTTCAATAATTTGTGCATACAATTGCGATAAATCCATATAAAACAAAAACATTCTAAACTAAACGTTGTGCCGAGAGTAAGCTGCCTGCTTTGACTCCGATTCTCCTTCTTCACTCCCGTCATATGTTTATAAGCTACCTACATTGTCCCCCATGCAGTATCACTTAATTTCTTTTAAGCATGAAGTTCTCTGAAGGCTGGCTACAATGAGTGGAGGGGATAATCTCCTAACTTTGCTTTTCTGACTTGGACATGTTTTATCTCAGCACTTCTCAGGCAAATTATCCTTCTTTTTGTCCGCTCTGTCTAATATCATACCTTCATTAAGCGAGCAACTCTCTTCCCCTGTTCTGCTGCTGCTGCTCTGTGTGCGCGTGCAGCAGGGGGGCTGACACTCACAGGGGGTGTAGAGGAGCACTGAGGCAGAACCGACAGAACCAGAGCCAGAGGGAGGAGGGGGCACCGGGGTCTGTGACTGTCAGCGATGGGAGAGGGATCCCCTGGGACGAGTGAAGGTTCAGGGGAAAAACCAAAGAAAAGAAAGATAAAAAAAAATTGCCGGCGAGTCAGCGGAGGAGGCTGAATGGGAGAATGTTGTTTTGATGTGAAGGGTGACGGCCGAGCGAGAGCCAGACGTCAGCGGAGAGAGAGAGAGGGGAGTATATAGAGAACAGGGTGAAGGGAAGACGAGAGAACGAGTAGACCCTAGACAGCAAGTAGTAAATGAGGGAGAAAAGCTATGCTATCATCCACAAGGCCGTTACACACCAGCTCAGCTCAACAGTCACTAGCCCTCAGGCCAATACAGTCCATATGAATGTGGGCATGCTGGGATGTATCATTTAATGCCACAGATAATACCATTACATCCATAATCTATCCATTGAGGAGCTTTTCCCTTCTGCCGACACATAATCATTCATGTTATTATATGTGATGTATGAAAGTTGAATGATTATACAATTAACATGGCACTTTTCTCTACCATTTGTTTTAGGAGGAGATTTCTCTGGAAGCCCATACTCTCATCCTCAGTATTCGACTTACAATGAATCGTGGAGATTTCCAAACCCCAGTTTATTAGGTATGTTATCGATGCTAATTACTGACGGATGTCCAATAATATATAATTAATAAATGAAAACAGTGACATTTTTAGCATGCAACTGCCAGACAATATCATTGTATAAACAGGTGAAAATTACAATATTGTTCAAAAGTTACATTTCTTATAATTCAACTTAAAATGTGAAACTAATATATGATATAGACTCATCACATGCAAAGTAAACATCTATCAAACTTTCTTTGTTATAGATTTGTAGATTATGGCAGTCTATTTTCTAGAGATGTTTTGTTTGGGTTTCTTACAAGCTGTTAACCATAATTGTTAACAATATAACAAATAAGGGCTTGACATATCTCACTTCACATGTAATGAGTCTATGGTTTCACATTTTCTGTCAAATTATACAAGTCAATAGACTATTGAACAGTATTCACCTGTATAAATGTATAATTTGTCATAATCATGTTTGATAAGTACATTAATAATGGAGAAAGGGGAATGTGTTAGGCCATTTCCTGTTCACATGTTTGAAGGATATTGCGGTGAAAGGGACCTGGTAATAACACTGAAGACCAAGTTAACATAATCAGACAGTTGTGAACTTGGGCTTGGGCTCGCTCCTCTTGCTTTTTCTCTCAACAGTGTTTCAGCAGGACTATGGTTCGATCCTGGGCACAGAAATTGGCTGCTCCTCCAGTCTCTTCACCAGCCAGGCAGGACAGATGCAAGGTATGTTGAAAGAGAGCAGAAGACAGACAGAAGTAACAAACGGTGTGTGGAAGGAGTTACAAAGCAGTCTAAAGTCCTGGATGAGACTATAGTTTATCAGAGGGGCTTAATGCCTCACTTCCCAAAGAGCCCCTTGAGATTACCTGCACTGTAGACAGACATAACCTGCCAGTGAGCGGCCATCTTGATGGATGGAAGTGACAGAGACAGGTGTGAGTGTGGCTGCCTTGCCGTGTGTGTCTTTGAGGTTACTGTATTGAATTGACCTCTTCCCTGAGGAGAGAATAGACTCAAGGGATCAGTAGCTTAAACTGGCACTTAGATAGACTGTTTAAGGTGTGTGTGGGTTACGAGATGAAAAGAAATCATCAGAGAGAGAAGAAAGTGGGATAGCTCAGAGTTCGTCTCATGGGTATAACAATGTGAGAAAAAAGCTTTTTCTGGTCATTAGATTCATCTGCTCATGTCATCTCATTGTCGTCCTTTCATTTCTCAAATGACTAGTATGCAATCTGTAGTCGGTGTAGCTGCTCATTTAACATTTGGCATTGAGTACAAGAATAGCTCTATTACATTTGCAAGCCATTTACTGATAGCAGAATTCTTGTGTCATTGAGATTCAGAAACTGCCAGATCATTCAGACAATTAGCATTCCGCCCTTTTACTCTGGCAGTGATGAGCCTGCACTATATTGTGAAAGTAAGGAAATAAAGTGTATTTATTTACAAGGTGCGAAACAGCCAAACATGAGTATCGGCTCAACTCCCTGTGTCTGTGCAGTCTTCGTGTTTCTCAACTTGTCCTCAGTATATGTACATTATTAGCCACTTTTACTTGGGATGAAAAATATATGATTTTGGCATAACGTTTTATCAGTTGGGCTTCTATTAAAATATGTGAGCTGAAAACTGTTTGGGATTCACCTATTTTGGTTTTCTGTCAATTTGGCTGTTTTTTTTCTTTTCTTTTCTAATTTATTTTCTTTTTTTTAAGCCACAAATAAGAAGGTGATATAGAGGCAATGCCAATATAAATTTAAATTGTTCTTACATATTAAAATATATAAGTGCCTTTATAGAAAAAAGTATATAAGAAGTATTTTATTTGTTATTTATTGCTCATCTGTCTGTGGTTATTTTTTATGTCTATTTATAAATATTATAAAGTTAGAGAAAATTATGACTAAATATATTTATTTTCTGAACAAAATTAGTGCAGTTATGTTTAGATTACATAAGGAATACAAAACACAATAATTTTCTTGTGAAAAATATCTTTAAAATGAGGTATTACATGCCATGGTAATGGGGCCAGACATAAATTAAGGCCTATAGCAATATTTCAAAAACTTTAAATATCAGCTTGCTATAAGAGATCTAGTGTGTGCTATCTTCTCTGTCTGGTGCACACTGGGCTAGTCTTGCACAGTTTTTCCAATGTGGTTTTACTGAAAATTACAAATAAAATCTCGTATTGTATCTTGCTGTATATTGTTCGATCTCTAATTTTGACCCACGCATCTTCTCAGGGTCACCATACTACTACAGTGCAACATCTCGAGGGGCCGGCCCTGCTGCTACTGCTACAGCCTCAGCCTATGACCGCCACTGACCCCCTCTACTACAGAGCTGCAGGACAACACGTGGGCGGGAGCGATAGCACCAGGACATCTCAGAACTTCACAGTGTGGAGACCATTCCAGTTCCGGCTGAATACAAACCCACTATCAGCTCTTGTCATGACCGCGTTTCTGAACACGCCAGTGGGATAAGACTGCAGTTGAGTGATTTCATTGATGTAATCCTGTCAATCAATCTTGTATCTATGCCATCCAACAGTGATGTAAAGACAATCCAACTCCCAAAACTTTGAATGACCAAAATCCACAAAAAAATCATTGTCATTTTGTTGCCATTGCTGAAGTAAAAAGGCAAGCAGGAAACATACATAGGTGCCATACAAGTCCCACTGCATTTGAAGCTTTACAATACAGAAACACTTTTTAAACCAGATGAAAAGCACAGCCCCAAATCCTAATGACCCAGGGAGCGTCACTGTACATGAAGGTGCTATCCTGCCCCCACAGCCCAGATATAAGAGCTATTTATAATGAAGGACAAACAGATTAATATATTATGAAGCTTTTCTGTGCTATGGGAGTGACTACTGCCTGTAACAATTTATAATGTGTGTCATGCTGTTGTGATAGAATAGTGATGATGACGAACATGCCGCAGTGACATTTCTTCATATTAAGAAGTCTTTGTTGATAAATGTAAACGGACTGCGATATATCTCGCCTGGTATCAGCCAACACAAAATGCCATTCTGATTCCTGACAACAGGAGGTTATATAGTACTTAATACTGTCTTTCTATTTCTCTTGAAACTCCCCAAAGATGGCCTCCCCTAGTGGACCGGCTGATTAACTTCAAAAGCACAAAGAGACTCAATCATTTCTTAAAACCGAGTATTTTTTTCCCCATCCTCCCTTTGTTTTGTTGCTTTACATCTTGAAACTGTTCTATAGTGTTGATTAAACTGCTTGGGAGAAATATAAGTAAACAAATGTCTGCCACATTGGTTCTGCGCGGTGACAATGCATGACGCCAGGGTTGAGGCCTTACCCATTCACCTCCATCAGAGTAGAACACATTTTTATCACTGAATCTATAAGTTTGTTCTTGTTATTGATACAAACTGTTTTTGTAATATGGCCCTCTTTCCATGTAGACCTTTTTGTACAGTGATCTGTGAGCAAGAGAAACACAAAACCATAACATGATAGATATAAGCCTATTTGAAATACACCCATGAAATTTTAGCTTTTAGTGATAAAGTTTTCTTTTCCAAAGGTGTGAGGTGTTGTTTTAGCCTTTGTCTGCCAGTGATGATCTCAATGTCATTGTTTTGGGTAAGACTGTTCATTGCTTCTGTAGGTTGCTAAGAGACCTAACTGACACACCATTATAGTATGTGACATAATATAAAAAATATATAAAAGCATACAACTGAACAAAGCTTTTAGTTTCTCAATCTGTTGTCGTGTCTGAGTTCTGTATAGACTTTATCCTTTTGTAGAGTTTCAAAGTTGTGAGCGAACAACTCTAAAAAAGATTTTAATGAATGGCCTTCCTGCTGTGCTGAGCAGCGGGGAGCATTTTTCTTTCCATTCTGTATTTTTCTCTCAAACTTTGAGGCATTATCAAACCTGAACCACACCAGCTAAAAACAAGGAGAGTGCCTTTAGTTTTATATGTCGACAACCCCCTTTGCTGACCACTTGTCTCTAAAATAACATTCAGCCACCCTTGTATGAACATACTTTTCCAAGCAGACCATGATTCTAGCAGCAATTTCTTGTACAAAATGTGGTGAAATACAGAAAAAGGCACAACGAATTAAAGAGCCACGACACCGCCGTAAACGGGAGTCAATCCTTGAGGAAGTCCTTGAAGCGTTGAAATGTGACACCGTACAAGTCTCCTCTCCATTAACAGGATTATTTGTTAACTATGCATCTTCATAAGGACACATCCCGCCTTGCCATTGCTTTGACCTAATTGGCTCACATTGTGGGGGAGAGGACAGATTCTTGTGTTGACTGGCGGCCATGACATTGCCTGCGTTCGGTGGTGTACTGTACGGGCTACAGTAGAGACGCATGAGAACACTCCCCCTTTTGTCCTTTAAGCTCGCTCCGGCTCCTCCCTC